CAGCCTTCGCAAATCAGCCAGGTAAACATCCACGGTCTCACCCGGCTCGAGCCGTCGTCCGACGAACTGTTTCCAAGCGATGAATGGATCTATTCCAAAGACCGTATACAGGGCGTCCTTGATCTCTTCTAGGTCAGCATCGTCCCCGAGTTGTTGATATACTGCGTAGGCTCCTCCCGTGAGTCTCAGTGGGATGACTAGTGCAGGTTCCTTTATTTTGGACACCCTGCAAACACGTTCGGCCTTTTCAAACCATTCGACGATAGTCGGGCCCGTGGGGGAGCCGTCGAATTCTGGGATCAACTTTAGATCGAACTTGTCCATTGCCGAAATAGCTTGTGGTGTGTAACTCAACAATTCAACTGATGATAGCAGGTAGGCACAAAGAAAACCGGTGTCGCACGTCCAACCTTCTCACGAGCCGAAAACCCTCTCATTTGAAACAGCAGAAACGAGCCTGCTTTATACAGCTGCGGACCGACCACGATTTGCATGCGAATCACGAGGCAACGAGATTTCACGTTAACTGACCGAAACCGCTCGGCATAAAACGCGGGCGCCGCCATTTTGGTTTTCTTTTTTACAGTTGGAAGGACCAGAGTTTACATACTGCGCAGATTCGAACGCGTTTCCGAGGTAGGCCATTTTCACAATTTTCCCCACAGTAGCTCTTAATAAACTTTGTGTTTTTGCTATCTCTTCTAAACCCTGTTCTGCCATCCATTTTCACAAGCTTGTTAGGTAGGTTATTTGTTGTTTTCCTCTATTCCTCTAGCCTACAATCACTTGTCTTGTGTCAAATTTTCCAAGCCCTCTTTCCTCATTATGTGCCCTAGAAATTTCAATTGTCTATTTCTGATTTTAAATATAAGTGCCTTTTTGTTTCCATTTTCTCTAAAATATTGTTGTTTCACACATGTTCAGTCCATGGTATTCTCAGTATACTTCTGTAGAACCACATTTCTGTTGCTTCAAGTCACTTCTTCACCTGTGAGGTGATTGTCCAGTATTTACTGCTCTAGAGGAGGACATAACAGTTCAGTTCTCTTTCATTTGTTTCTAATGAAATTTTCTTGTTTCTTAATACTTTTACTTAGTTTTTGAAGGCAACTTTTGCTATCCCTATGTGCCTTTGGAATTCACTGTTGTACTTTCTATACTGTTTAACACTTCCCAGATGTTTAAATTTTGTTCTTCCTACATTTTGATATCTCTAGTTTATAATTTGCATATTTATCTGTTCCAATAGGAACAAACATGTAATATATCTTCTTGCAATTGATGTTTAATCCTTTTTTCTTGCTTTCCTTCATTACCATCTGTAGGAATTCTTGTAGTTTCCCTTCTGTGTCTGCTGTGTTACCTTCATATCTTATCTTGTTAAGATTGTAGCCGCCAATTTTGAATCTTGGTAGGACTATAGTCATTTACACAACATTTGCATCCAATTTTATAACATCTGAAACAAAAATACACCTGAATTGCAATATCTACCAGAGACATAGATTATCTTTAGATGTATACATGAAGCTTTGTGGGGTTAAAGGTTTAGAAAAAAAAAAAATTGACTATCTCTCGAGGTTCCTGTTTTGCCATCCATTTACACAAGCTCAATTGGTAAGTTACTTAATGTTTTCCTCTGCCCTTTTCATCTTCATTATATTTAACAAATGTGTCAAATTCTCCAAGCCCTCTTTCCTCATTTAGTGTCCCAGAAATTTCAACAATCTCTGATTCTAAGTATAAATGGCCTTTTGTTTCCATTTCCTGAATTTTCCCTCTTGTACATGATTTGTCCATGGTATTCGCAGCATTCTTCTGTAAATCCATATTTCTGTTGCCTCCTCTTCAACTGTGAGGAAATTGTCCTGTATTTCCTGCCATACAGGAGAACTGATATTACACAGCAACTCAGTACTCTTCTTTGTTTTTAACAAAATTTTCCTGTTTCTTAATACTTTGTTTTGTTTTTTTGGAAAGCATCTTTCACTATTCAAATGTGCCTTTTAGATTTCTGTGTCACATTTACTATCATCTACTGTAACATATCCCACATAGTTCAATTTATATACTTGTCTGACTCTGGCATCTCCAATTCGTAGCTTGTATCTTGAGCTGTTCCTCTTGCTAAAAACTGTATATTCAGTCTCCTTACAATTAATAGTGAGTTCTTTCTACTTACTTACCATTACTACATTGCCTATGATGCCCTGTAGTTTATTAATAATATAGTGGAGTTGTAGATAATCTATAGATATATGTGTAATGAAAGTGCTTGGAAGAAAGATTTATTCTCCCATTTATGTTTCTCTCATTATGGTCATTGTTACAACCATAATATAACAATACACCATAGCTCACAGAGACCGGATGAAGCGAAATAGCTGAAAGGAAAAAGGAATGACAAACATGCTTTGTTCTCAGAGAGACTTTTATAATACTAAGACATTCACAAAACTATATATATATATATATACATACAAGTGTCCCACATGGAAAACTATATATCATATATATCTACACATGAATGCTATTTTTAGGACTCCAGATTTAAATGGACCTGATTCATTTATGTCCAAAAGGGAAATGGTATCATGTGCTTTTAAGCTACTGAGGGAAGCAAATTTAGTCTCATCCGGGGCCTTTTGGCCCAGGCTAGAAGAAAGTAACCCTCATGTGTGGTTGTTGCCTATGAACTGAAAAATGACTGCTATATGGAGTGATATTACAAAGTGGCTGTCATATGACAGTGACTTATATCCCCCAAAGGGAGATAAACGCCTTTTTTATTCTGGATGTGCATGAAATAAGCTTTGAAATAAAGGTCTGTAAAAAATTGATTGATTGATTTGTTTTCTATGGCTTATCAACACTTTGCAGGTTATTTAAATGTTTTTTTTTATATTGTAAGAATTTGGTGGGGGGAGATAATAATGATGTAGTGATACAAGTCTTACTAATTAACCCATAGCTGGAGGGAAGTGAGGTGGATTCATACCTTTCCCAAGAGTATTTGCAATGTAAGTGAATATATATATTGAGTTTCTTTCTATATCTGGGAAATGTATATTCCCAAAAGGAAATGGCACCATGGACTTGTAAACTGTAGCATTTGCTGGAGGAGGCAGGTTTAGAAACCCATGTGACTTATCTCCACCAAAGGGAGATAATTGCCTTCTGTATCCCTGCAGCATGAATATCAGGCAGGGGCAGTGGTAGAAAATGACAGTGACAAGATATGAAATTTTTCTTCCCAGAGAGAGCATGTCATTGAAGTATGAAAACCTGATATTATTGTTATAGATAAAGAGAGTAGCAAGTGCCAAACGGCTGACTTCTCCGTTCTATGTGATACAAAAAAAAAAAACTCTAAAAAAAATTGAAAAAAAAAACCAAGGTTAGGATAGGGAGTTGAAAAACTGTGGAACATGATTGTTGAGAAAAAGTAATTCCTGTAGTAATGGGTGCACTTGGAAGACTACCTAGAAATTTGAAATATCACTTAGGAGAATTGGAGAATGAAGATTGTAGAGCTCCAGAAAACTGCCATCATTTACTCTGTGAGGATTAGCCAAAGAGTTCTTGAGTTGTGAGGGAGTCTTGTTCACACCATGCTACATCAATGTGTGACAGCAACATAATAATAATAACAATGATAATAATAATAATATAGTTTGAATGAATGAATAAAGGAAAAAAATGTCACTTACCTTGACACCAGCAGAGAAACTGAGTAAATGAAAGAGAAGAGTTTTTATAGATGACCAGAGCATTGTGGGTAGCAAATATCTATATAAGGGTGGATTCAATGGGATTCAATGTCTTTTTTGGTTAAATTGATTTTGGAATATTAGGCAGGCATAAGCAATGTGATGGCCAGAATTAGAGAGAGAGAGAGAGAGTTAGAGAGAGAGAGAGAGAGTTAAAGAGAGAGAGAGAGAGAAACAGAAACAGTAGGAAAAAGAGATACTCTAAGTTGATCAAGAATTGTGAGGAAAATGAAATAAACCAATAAATAAAATAATAATAACAAATACAAAAAAAATAACAAATTCATTTTCGAAATGGTTATGATCCCATGTGATTACAATTCCAATATAATAAAATATATAAAATTAATGGTCAGAGTTGAATTAAACCAGTAAACAGTAGTATTGAAAAGTTCTCAATACATGAGTGAAAAAAAATTAAAAAATAACATGTGGATCTTTTAACAACCACAATAATATTTGCAACAGCAAAAATTAGTAATTTCCAGATCCAAAGAACCTTTTAAACCAGAGATCTGAAGTCATGAACCATTGTATACATCACAAAAAATTCCTCTTAAGCTCATATGAGGCTGGATAAAAAAGTATATACATTTCAATTAAACCCCCATTGATATATTTATAATATCCTTACTTTTCTTCTACTTCTTCCTTTTTCACATCCTTCTCCTCCCTTTCTATCACACCCAACGTCGTGCATTTGTTTATTTTTTTAAAAATAATACAGCATTCTTTAGATTTTTTTTTTTTTTTTTTTAAATAAAGCATTGGGAGGTCAATTGATAAAAATCGCCTGAGGATATCGTAAAGTTGAAACAAAGGTAGCAGATTCAACTGATCTAATTTTTAAAGTTGTGTACTTATTCAGCAATTATTCTTTCAGACATTAAAGAGTTTAGACATTTTGTCTATTACGTTTGCCCATCTTTTTCTCCAATTTTGTGAAGGATAATTCCTAATTTAATGAATGATTCATTTTCTATGGCTTATCAACCCTTTGCAGGTTATTTAAAGCCAGAAAATATTCTTAAAATTTTTTTTTTTTTTTTGAAAATATTGATTTAGTGAAACAAGTCTTACTGATTAATCCATAGCTGGGGAATGGAAGAGGTGAATTCATACTTTTCCCAAGGCTATTTTGCACATAAGTGAATATAACAAACCCAACTGGAAATGGAGCTCGGCTTTCTGATTAACAATTCTGAGCCATTATTCCTTACACCATCCAAGCTTACAGCACCTGGTATTCAGTCACCCATCTAGGTACTGACCAGGCTCAATGTTGCTTAACTTCAGTGATTGTATGGGGTCCAGTATTTCAATGTGATGTGGCCGTAAGCAATTAATAATCTGGAGAGAAAGGTAGATAAAATCAGTAGACATAAAATGTCTATATTCTTTATGCACACACACAAAATTATCTACAGATGCCAAACGACTTGTTCAGTTTCTTTCATTCTTTCTTTGCTTGGGTAGTCAGCTGTTAAATTTGTCGACTCAGTATTTTTTCTTTTCAATTTTGAGATAAGAGAAATTTTTTTAATGTCTAATACTTACATTACTTTTTTTCTTTCTCTTCTCTTTCTCCCTGTGTGTCTTTTTTGTTTTTCTTTTAAAATTTGCTGACAAAGTTTTATGTTTTAATCATTTGTCTACACTTGTCATTCAGGTAACAAGTCTTGTAAGATATTATTATAATTGTGCTTGTTCCTTCCTTTCTTGTTAGTTTGCATGACCGTTACGCCCTGCCAATAGCTAATAGATAATGGATTTTGATTGCATGGAAAGAGAGGAAAAGACATTACCTGATTTCAGTGAGAAAATGTAAGAAAGATGGAAATGGAAAGAGATAATCAGATTAAATTAATAAGAACAGACACTACACTTTGATCTTAACCAAAGATATGGTGACCATTAACCATTTTTCAGAAGCACAGTATTGAACAACAAAAACTGAGTAAAGTAATTACCATAAAAAAAAAAAAAAAATGCAATTATCATAAATTAGATAAAATAACATTGCTAAATTATTTTCAAATTTTTATTAAGAGTAATGTTTGTAAGACGTAGATTTGGCAAGAAAGAAAATAGTGTTTAACGTCCCCTACCAAATACCTCATCAATAATGGACTATTCTGTTTTGATCCCATGGAAAGAGGGGGAAAGACACTACTTGGTTTCAGTGAGAAAATGAAAGAAAGGAAGATAAAAATGGAGAGAGATTAAGCTGATGAGAACACTTTGATTGTATTTTCTTGCCACCCCACACTAGCAGGATATGTGACACAAGGTCAGTTTAATGTGAGGACTGAGTGCATGCACTCAGGCCAGGTTCAAAAATAGCCCAGCCTCCCCAATCATCGATTGCTATGACTACTGATCTCTCCTCTTTAGTGTAATAAAGGAGATACTGCTTCGGGCAGCTGTTTCCTGAGACCAGGCACCTATCAATAATATTTTCAGTTGCGCTCTGTTCACAGAGACACAACCAAATTGTGCTTTGTCTGAAGACCCACAACTGAGATGAAATGTAGTTTATCTGCCCAAAGGCAGATACTACACTTTGATCCAAGCCAAAAGATCATGGTGACCATGAGAAAAGTGCCATTTTTCAAACAAACAGTATTGAATGATGGAAACAGTAAGACAATCACCAAAAATCCAGTTACCATAAATAAAATAACATTGTCTGCTGAATTATTTTAAAATTATTATTAAGAGAAATATTCATAATATGAGGATTTGACTAGTATTCATAATTGCTCGTTACTCTTGTGACATCATCTTGTACCTCTCCACTGCCTTTCTTGAAAGGTTTTTTTTTTTTTTACCCCAAGCAAGGCAATAAAGCCACTAAGATACATGGTGGGGTTACTGAGTATTAAGGAGTATGAGGATAAAAAGAAAATACTATTAAAGAGAGTGAATATATATATATATATATATATATATATATATATATATATAAAAATTAAGACAGAAGATTACGGTTGACATTACATTTTGAAAGTTGGCTAAGAAGATGGAAGAGAGTTTTACATGTAAGAAGTGCGATAGCAGAAACTGTTAGCATAAAACTAACAGTCACATCAAGCCATTTTAACTGAAAGATGAGATCTAGCTGCCATCAAGGTCGAAAGGGTCATTAGGATGGCATTCTGTGTCATAACATAGCTGGTCAATATAAGGTGATTGCTGAGCAACCAGTTCATCTTGCACCATGGCTATGTGTCCAGAGCAGTAGACCACTCGCAAATTCTTGTTTTGCTCGCCAGCAGTAGCTGCAAAGCACATTCTGTATTCATGTAAAATTGTAGAAGTGTCAGGGATGGGTCCATGGAGCTGTGATTTAGTTGGATGTTTTCTCTAAGGAGATGTTAAGTATAGCTCTCAGCATTTTAGTTAATGTCCAAGCAGGTGCACCATATATTAAAACCGACTCTACAGTGGCTCATAAGAATCTCCATTTGATTTTATCTGGTTGATCAGATTTCCAGACATATCAATATATACGTGTGTGTGTGTGTGTGTGTGTGTACACACACGGAAAACTTTTCTTTACTAATGTGTTTTGTCACCTGAGGAACTTTATCAAGATAAATGTTGCGTTTTTATTTTGTAACTTGTATTTATAAAGTCAAGTGGTAGAAAAATAATGTAATGTTTTAAAATTTGAAATTTGAGAATGCTCTGAAATATTCTTGAAGATAGCTGTGTTAAAAAAAAAAAAAAAAAGTTTTTAATATTTTATTTTTCATTAATTTTTTTAAAAATGTAATTTTTATTTATTTTAACTTTATTTTGTTTAATTATTTATGCATTCATTTATTTACCTTAAATATTTAAACATATAGATACAGGCCAACAGATAAAATAATGGTGCACCCAGTAATTAGCAATAGTTTCCAACACTAGCAAAATATATAAGCTTGTAGGTCACCAAAAAAATTCTGTAAGAAATGTTCTGCCCTAGTGAAGGATTCAGTGTTGAACAATGAGTCACCTCTTGTATTTCAGGCTTTTTTTTTTTTTTTCTTTTAAAGGAAGTCAACTTGGTTATGTGTCATTATATATGAGAAACTATTTTGTAACAGGTCAGGTACTTCATTATCCAGTGTAGGCTTTATTAGAAGCCCTATTATTAATAATTATTTTTTGCCTTTCAACAATATCATGGATTCTCTCTCAAATGGGTGTGTATCTCATATATATGGTGGCTGTTGACTCGCAAAGTGAGTATGACCATCACTGACATGTCCAGCCCTTTACTTAAGCCCACAACACTGCATTCATCAGTTGTGTGAATGACAGTGGTTCATAAAACCAGTTATTAATCTGCATTTTTTTGTCACATATGTGACATATCAAGTCATCTCCGAGTTGGGGTGGAAGGAGACTTTGATCATCATCACTTCCAGTGTGCCCTCTCTCTCTATATATATATATATATATATATATATATATATATATATATATATTTTATATATAAGAGATTATAATAAAGTTGCAATTTATTTATTGTGATTTTATTATAATCTCTTATAATAAAAATATAACAATATGAGGTTCTACTTTGTATTGAGCATTTTTTTTTTTTTTTTTTTTTTTAAGTAAATGCTATGAACAGTGGATTTTTACTCCATCTGTTCTTTCTTTCATTTGGAGATATATAAACTCTTAAACAAACGCTTCCCAGAATCAAGCACTCTACAAAAAATATTCAATAAAAACACTGTAAATAAAGAATAAACAAATTAACAAACTAATAACAGTTAGAATAGATTACAATGATCAATCCAAAAATTGAATGAGAAAATAGCTATAACTGATATATAATGATAAAAAAATCGTAATAAAAATATACAAAATAAAAATAAGCAAATAAATAAAAAAAAAATTAATCCTAATCAATAAATAAATAAATTAACAAAAATTAACAAATCGTTCCCACGAAAATAACCATTAGAACTAATAAAAATGAAGATAAATAAGAAAAAAAAAGTAAAAATAATCAATCCAAATAAATAATAAACAAATTAAAAACTGTCCCCCCTTCAAAATAACAGATTAGACTACGGCAATCAATCCAGAAATTGGATGAATAAATAGCTTTATCTTCCTAGACCAAAACAAAATATTAAATAAGCAAGCTAAACAAATCCCCCCCCACCAAATTTTTTACTACGTTAATAAAACATTGAAAACCAAACAGAATAAATAAATAAAAAATGGAAATAAAAACAAGTAAAACAAATTAACCCAAATAAATAAACAAGTCACTCCCGCCAAAATAATTGCCAGAATAAATTATCCACAATGCACTACTGACCCGTGTATATATATATATATATAGTCAAGAAAAATCCATCACTCACAGTCTGCCGATTGTGTCTAGCTGCCTCTGAGTGTTGACTTTAATGTTCACTTACATATAGTGTGTGTGTATATATATATATATATATATATATACACCAAGCGGTGACTGTGTTTTCATGCTTCAATGCCATCATCTGGTCTAAAGGTTGCTTTGAAGCATGAAACGGATTGTCACCGCTTGGTGTTGAACAGTGTGTCCACTTTTTACACATAAATATAGCATACCTTAAAACTATATTTTTATCATATCCTACACATGTTTACACACACACACACAGAAAAATGAACCTAACACAAATTTAACTTGATATAAAAATAATGAAAATGAGAAAATTGACAGACATTTGCTGATACCTCCTGATTAGTGGACCAAACGATTACACAAAAGTTCATCTACAAAACTCTAGAAAATAGAGGTGCTAACTATAACAACAATCAGTTTAGTGACAAATTTTCTATTTGTATTAATACTAAATATGAAGGAAAATTAAAAATTATCCACACTCTTGTCGAAAAATATGTTATGGCGAAAATGCAGATAATTTTTGACACACACAATCTCATAATTAAGTATATATATATATCTCATAAAGTTAATTGGTAATCTGTATGTTTTGAAACTGCCAGGTCTGATGAAATGAAATTGGATTTTATCGGTCTCACAAAATAAAATATTACCATGGCTTTCTGATGAGTCCCAAATATAGGATGAAACAGCAGTCCAGTGCTTTCTGCATTCTGTTGAGGATTCTTCTAGACTTTATCATATATATATATATATATATATATATATATATATATATATATATATATACTTCAAGCCGTACAAATACTTTGCATAACTAAAGAGACAGCTGAGAGTCCATGCTCATTTGCAAGTTGACAATTTGATGACAGTTATTGAGACAGCAATTGTTTAAGATGCTGTAACACATATATATATATATATATATATATATATA